GGACAACGACCTCACGGTTGACCAAAGCTTGCTCACACCAGAGGCGAAGTTGCAGGTCTTGAGATGCTCTTCCCATTTCTTCCGCTTATGTACGTTCACAAGTTGCCGAATCACCGAATTGAGATCCCTAATACGGGGATTTCCGGGATCGGCCTGACGAAGGTTGTCGCGCTCATCAGCTAGAACAGCCGCTTCGGCAGGAAAATTCGGACGTCGATCCTTAATACATCCTGCTGGGATGAAGCGAGCTGCAGCAGCGGTTACAACCCTGCGGAACTTACGTTCACCTACATGAACGTCGGTTGGTATGGGTAGTGGAGTGAAGGCGCCCTCAGTAACATCCGTGAAGCATTTCCAGTCAGCTTTGGAAAAGTTGACATAAGTCCGGTGATCCACGGAAGCAAAGTCGGCAGGTTTATCAATCGAGATGACTATGGGCAGATAGTCTGATGCTAGAGTCAGCATAGGTCGCCATGATACGCTGTTTATCAGAACAGCGCTGACAATTGTTAGATCTGGCGAGCTGCAGCAGCTGCCCATAATCCTGGTGAGTGCGTCGTCGTTCATTGTGCAGAATGTCGAATCGTCTATCTGCTCAGCCAGATGTATTCCCCTAAGATCATTTGACAGGCTTGAGTGCCAAAGATCGTGGTGCGCGTTAAAGTCACCAACTACCAGCATTCCCACGACAGCCGGTTCTACGTACCGGAATGACTCGGGTTTTACCCGACCAAGGGCTTTTGTTTCGGCGATATAATCCCGTTTAGGTCGGCGAAATCCATATTAAATGCGTCGCTTTGGTCAGCCAATGTTAAAATAAGACCACTTCGTTTTCTTCAAAAACAGGCAGTTCAAGCACAACCAATGTGACATTGAACGACTCGGGTGAATTTACAGAGAGCTATTATGGGCTGAATGTCTATTATCACAACATCACTGGCCTAAGAACTAAATCCCATATTATCCATCAGTTTAGCACTGAAGAGGCTTATGATATCATTGTCATTGTTGAGACGTGGCTGACATCGGACTTTTTTTGTGAATCCTTCGATTTAAATCTGTACGACGTATTTCGTAAAGACCGCGATGCTGATGCTGCGTAAGAGGAGGCGGTGTTCTAATTGCGTTCAAAAGATATCGTGCCTATACAATCACGCTTAAAAATGACGATTCGTTGCGTGATCAACTTTGTGTGTGCATCAATGGCTCTAAAACATATGGTTGGCTTTATTTAATTGCCTCGTATATTCCGCCTAGTAGCAACTCGGAGTTATATAAGGCGCATGTGGACAATATTACTGCTTTAGCTGTAGATAATTTAAATGATAATCATCTCTGTGTGTTGGGTGACTTCAATTTGTGTAACATTAGATGGTGTAATAATTGTGCTAATTCAGTTCTCACCGCTAATAACGTCGTTACTCTTCTGGAATCTCACCTTATAGATAGTTTCCTTAGCATAAACCTTAAGCAAATTAACGGTATTTTCAATCAGTTAAACAGACTGTTAGATCTTATTTTTGTGAATGATAATATTAATTATTGTATATCAAAATGTATTTCTCCAATATCCGATGCAGGTATTCATCATGTCCCTTTAGATATTAAGCTAAAGTTTTATGAGTTTTTACCTTTATCGTATATTGAGATAACAGCTTTCAATTACGCATCCTGTGATGATCGTAGTTCAAATAACTCCCTTTTAGAATTTAAATGGGATGAATTATTGTCCGACTTGGGCACACACAGCTGTTTTTCTTATTTCACATCAATAATGCAGGAATTTTGCCTTAATAACATACCTTTGAAAAAGGAACGATGTTATAAGTCACCTTGGTATAATAAGCACTTAAAGAAATTAAAAGATCTCAAAAACAAATTTCTTAAGAAATTTAAAGCAGCAAGCATGATAAAAATATAGTAAGGTAGAACCGCTGAGAGTCACTTTTAAAATTCTTGACGTTTGCAAACAATTTAATTTTTAAATTTACTCACAAACTCACACACACATTTTCATTTTCTATCTCAAGCAACAACAATTTCGAACAATTTCAATTTTTTATTTTCACTTTTATATGATTTTAAAATGTTGGCAAACTTCAAAAAAAATCAAGTAATGCCTCTATTTCTCGTGCTCTTCGGGATTTTAATGTATTATCTAATTCAAACCTGCTTGATTTTGCTTTATATAGATAAAATTTTGTGAAAATACTGAACGTAGTTGTTTAATATGGTATCTATGCATATTTTAACAATATTTTAATTGCCAATTTGGGCGTGTTTATATTTTTGTCTAGTCTGTAAGGTACTTTGTACTGTAGATTAATAAATAAATGAAATGAAATAAATCCGGCCCTAACTCCACGTTACAATTTTCAACAAAATCGGAACACATTTACTACTTTTAGCCACCTTTTATATGGAGCTCTTCCGCTGTGCGGCGCAGACGCGCCTGTGTCGCAGCCGCCGCCGACACTTTTTAAAGTTGACGACGTCGCCGCAGCAAAACCTGTCAACATAAACCTCTATCATGTACTACGAGTATGCCACGTAAATGTCGTCTTTCGTGCTCATATTTCATACAAAAAAAATATTGAGCATTTTCATTTGCCTGTTTTCCCGGACTTTTTCGTAAAGGAACAGGCTTTAATTAAGTTTACACGTTTGGCCGTTTAGCTGTGGTATTTTTGCCTTAATTAATAATGTATGCAATAGTTTTCCAGTTTCTTGATGTTAATTATTTAAAACATTATACGAATTTTGGAATTCTATTATATTAAGTTCGTAATCAGTGACTCCGAGAGTTCCTAGCTATCAAGCGTCATTACGATACATAATTGTTTTAAAAAAGTCGTTCGACATATTGAGAGATTTTGAATTTTGAAAATTTAATATCAATCCCTAAATCAGGGAAGAATAAAATCCCTGGATACCAAGTTTATAACAATCTTTAATTTTTTTAAGTCGTCCGCCATATTGCACCAGCCATTTTGAATTTTGAAAATTTAATGTCAATTTCGAAATCAGTGACGACGAAAACCCTCTAAATACCAAGTTCCATTCACATCTGTCAAACACATATGGAGTAAACATTTTTGTCCTATGTTTTCCTATATTTTGTTCCTATGTGCACCGTTGAGCTGTCTTAAATCCGACGGAAAAATACTCATCCCAATCGGTTCACAAACAAAAAAATTATGCCCGAGCATATAGTATGTATAAGAAATATACATGATAAATTGAGAAACTTCTTTTCAAATCGGCTAAAAAATGCCACACACAGCAAAGGCAAAAAATTACCCACCACCCAAACATTTAAATTAAATTACGCTAGAAGGTATTAATTACAGTATACATATATTTAAGTTCTGTATTAAAATTAGTTTATTTTTAATAAAATTATATTTAAATAAACTTTTTATACAACTTTTCCAATTAATTTAAGTAGAACCATATTAATCTCGTTATGCCTTTTGCACATCGCTCTAAACATGGATGCAGCTAAATCAAGACTGATCTCTGAAAAATTTGCAATGTAATGTAGAAAAAATAATGTATTCGCCCCATGAGTTCACTCTACACACTCTATGGCAAGATTTAACTCAAGATTACATTTTAAATCTGTCATGAAACGAAACACTATTTGAATTTTCGTTTATCCCTTGTTTTTGTAATACATACATGCCCAGTAAGGCGTAGCTCAACCAATTACCTAGAAAAATTAGTTTAATTCTACTTATGCAGCGGCTAACTTTAAATTGGTGTATAATCACCAGGGAATAAAGGTTTAAGGTTTTGCTTAAAATTGCTTATTCAAGGTTTCCAAGCTTTAGTTTAATGATCATGCTTATTTATCTGATATTTTACAGCCTGCTGTATCACTTTTTCCTTTCGCATATATTTTTGTTGAAAACAAGGGTACATTGTACTCTTCACAAACAAATTTTAGAAAACCATAGCAGAAAGCGTAGCAACTTTCTTAAGAACCTCGTACTGCTTACGAAAATATGGCCCAATAAATTTTTCTTTACCATTTCTTTGGCGTTTTTTATTCGTCGAACTAAGGAAATGTTTACAAATAATAACATAAAAAAAGATTTGGTTTTTATTAACCCGTAACTTAAATTTCATTTCGGCCTGGGGACAAAAATTGTAAACCAATGGTCTTACTCTACAGAAAGGCATTCGTGTAACTGAAGAGATTAAAAACAACCAGCGCAGATCTCTATTATTAAAGATTATCAAGCAACACTTGACTGTTCATTGTAATAAACTGAATAAAAAAAAACATTAACCAGTACACTAAATTTTGTTGTTTTGCTAGCATATTTACCAATGTTTTGGTGCTTATCTAAGCGCAATCGTCTACACAATTCAAACTGAACATTTGAAAGCACATTTACATGTCTGAGTGTAGCTGAGCGTGCAAAGCTGTTTGCTACAACTGGTCGCGGCCAAGAATGTCCATATTCAAATCTCATTAGGCGGAACATTTAGCTCTAAATTTTTATTTTCGTTTTTTTTTTTTATTATGAAAAAGCATCTGTGAAGTGCAGAACGAAAGCGTAATCAAATGACTGACTTTCAAGTGCCAAATGCGTTTTAAAGTAGTTGAAATCAAATGCAGAGCCGGATAATTGACTGATGCCAGAAGTCAGATAATTGACTGATGCCAAAAGAGAAGTCAGATCTTCAACTACTTGTGGTGGGCAAAAAACTGGTTGTACATCGATATTTAAACTAGTTTCCTTCCGTACTGGGTATGTATATACATATGTATGTATGTGTGCCCGATTGCAATGAACTTTAAGTACTCTAAAAATGTTAATTAAATTTTAGTCTTCGTATGTTAACATTGGTTTTTTTTTTGTCAGCACAACTTTTAATGTTGCAAATAAATATGTATATACATACATTCACGGCAAAAAGTATTGGCACAGACAAATTTGATTCATACTACAACAAAAAACATAAAAATACCATTTTTGTTGTAGTATGAATCATGTTTTTATAAAAATTAGCGGAAAAAACCAAAATAAAAATTGTTGCATATAATGTGAAAAATTCTCTTTATCAAAATACTTTTTGCCATGACTTATGTAATTATCTGAAACAAAGCGTAAATTACTCACGCAATTTAAAAATATTGTGTTCGGTTCCACTGCTATCAATTACTAATTGAAACTACATATTAGCAGCTATGTTCTTCAGAAAATTGTAACTTATGTGTGCCATTCAATTTCTAACAGAAAGTTAAGCTATTTAACAATTGCTTTTTTACATACATACATATATGTACTATGTATATGCATATGTATGTATGTATGACCATATCGTCGGTGAAACTGCGAAAAGTGTTATGATAATTAATACTTTTTCTCTTTAAAATCGCTTTATGTTATAAAAAAATGTCTACCTTTGAGTGATAAAAATGAATTATCTGTTAGCAGACGCGTTCATCTAGTTACATAATCATTTAAGCACAAGCAGTATCACCGATTATATGTAACATATGGATTCATAACTTGAAAATTCTCCAAACAAGCTTTTGAAATTCCAAATTTAAAAACATTTTGCCACATTCAAAAAGGTTGTGCAGTCATCATTAAAATATTATGTGATTAACAACGAACCGAAAAATTGTGAAATGGTTTAACCATATAAACATACTACGTGCATATCTATGTACTATAAATACATAAATATCGCTAGCTTAGAGTGAAAACCTGATAAGTCCCAATTTAAAAATTTTACAGGAGAGGAAAAAACTTCTTATAGCTAGTTTCTTCAAGTATTTCGCAAAACTATGAATACAACATTTCGCAAAACTACGAATACAACATTTCGCCTGTTTGAAGCAAAGTAAAACTCCATACGAATCAGAGGGATTCGATCTTTATTAAAAGATTTCGTACTATTTTGGCCTTCCTTTAATTGAATGTAAACGAGAAAACACAAAACAAGTACCTTTATCCTTTTCGAAACGACGTATTTTTAATTTATCTAGCCTCCTGTTTCAAAATATGAGTTTCCATAAAAAGTGGATTTAGCAACTTTTCACTCTAAGCTAACGATATGTCTCTTACTTACAAGCTTGGTTATACCCAATTCGCGCTTTTGATGTTTAGCATAATTTTTTTATATTTTTTGGTCCTTATGAAGTTTAAATTACCATAAATGTGGCCATTTAAACGACGATTTTCCACCTATGTATGAATACATGTGTGTGTATGATCTAAAATTTCCGGCATAAGTATGTATGAATGTATGTTTAAAGGTTTATAGCTGCGTGTCGTTTGTTTGCCTATGTATTTACGTGCACTGTTGGGTAAGTTCATCCATTTCGAATATCTATAGACAGGCATTTAAAATGAACAATTTCAATTGTCATGTTTCTGTTGTCATAATGGAATACAATGATTTTTTCCATACTTACTCGTAAATAGTTTTCTTTTAAATTATCATTTTCAATATTAGTTAGTATTAAATTTTTGCAAACTTAAACATTTTTGATATTTTAGTTGGGTTATTATCTATTAACTACTGACAGTATGCTTTTAATATATGCACTGTATTTACATATATGTACATACGTATGTGTGTACATATTGTGAATATGTTTTTTTATGCTTTCTGCCCTTATCTATGTATTTATTATTTATATATGTATTTATGTTAATAAATATTAAACTGATTATGCTGGTAATTTTAGGCGACACGAAATTTCTGACTATTCATGCTGGAATGTCAAATGGCAACAATTAAGCTAGTAATGTGCCATTAGCACTCTCACTTCATTACTCAGATTTTGTTTTTCCTGAAGAAGGTTCAACGTGTTGTTTGTTGTCAATGCTTTGATGCCACTATGTGAGCCTATTTATGCTTTTTCATTGTTCACAATTTTCGCATCCAATTGGGGTTTCGCCATTATGCTTGCATTTATCTCTGCTATAATTGTTTCTGATCGCGGTTGCATGTATAGACTTTGGTCAAAGGTCTTTGAGTAAAGCGCTTTTAGCATTCTTTAGTTTATCTAGCCGCTTCAGCAGGTGATTATTTGAAGTTTCCAGCTCCTCCAGACGTTCCATGGCCTCACGATTCTATGGGAAACCATAATTTAGTTTTTGCCATTAAATACAAGTATGAGTTAATTAAGAATGCAACAATTTTTGGTTAGTCAGGGTGTAACTTGGGAAAATGCAATTTAGGCAAAACAAATATTCTCAACTTAAAGCAAACTTAAAGAAACGGGACGCATTTTGAGAGTTGCTGGTGTAGAGTGCACATCTATGTTCATAAATATGTATATGTACTGGTCAAATACATACATAAAAAAAGTCTCCGCGGATTTTATGGTACATTTTCGAAAAAGATTTCTATATCGAAACTCAATTATTTTCGAGGACATATTGGACATTATTATCTATGACCTTATGTCATTTCTCGAGTAGCTTCATAATTAGATCGGTGTAGAACTTGGCCAAATGATTTTAAGCGATTCTTCGCTTCAAAAATGGTTCGATTACGTTGCGGGTCACTCGTGGTAATTCGTTCAATAAAATTTCTTTGCCTTAATTCGAGCGTTTTTGAAAAGCCTGCTCTTTTTATATGATTCAAAATTGTCCTGTGGTTGATGTATTGTGCCTCCGATATCTCCTGACAGTTTGCAAGCCGGAATCATTTGCATTATTTCATCGACTTTTCCAGTGACTGGGCGACCAGAGCGAGGTGCATCTTTGACATCAAAATTTCCGCAACGGAATCGAGCAAACCACTCTTCACAAATTTCTCGGCATGTTCGTGCAGCGTTTTCACTTGTTTTAAAGTAAAAAATCATCACATATGTAGCTTATTTCATCAGATGTTTTCCTCTCTTCCAAATCAATAAAATTACAGAACTGTCTTCACATAAAATGTAGCATTTAATGTCACCTTTCAAACGCACCTCAGTTTGACGCAATTGGATTAGTGTTTATTGGATGCATGGGCATCAACACCACAAAGTGAAAAAAATCCGGGGAGACTTTTTATTTGATCATATATGTATGTATTAGGAATGTTAATCCCGGGATCCCGGCCTTTTTTAGATCCCGAACATCCCGGGATTCTTGGCAAAAAATGCCGGGATTTGTAATTTGCACTGATGGCAATAATAGAAACTCCTTCTCTTGACCAGTATTGGCTATATTTATTTCTATTTATTTAATAATTAATACTTTTTTTATAAATGACTAGCTCATATTACATACAACGCCGTGCGATAGTAAATTTTACACACAAAAATCAATATATTCGCGAAACCATGGGTCAAATATAGTAAAATTACGTTTTTAGCTTTTCACTCTGACGTCAGTAATTAAAAATAATTCACAAAATTCAGTGAAACGTGCTTAGAGAAGAAGTATGGGTATCAAATTAAAGAGGAAATTCCGTTGAATTTTTGGTGCATAAGGACTGGTAAGTATTGAAAATGTCCTTTTAAAATTTATCCTTGAAATTTTGCAATATTTGTTTTTGAAAAAATTATATGTTAAGGACTTATACATATAAACTCGATAACATCCTCGAATTCATCCTTCTAACTTTATCAGCTTAAACAAATACCTATTCGTCCTTGTGAATCCAAAAAATTTTGATTTTTTTAAATTCTAAAGAAATTTCCTCTTGCATTTGGTACCCACATTTTTATTCTACATTACATTAAATTTTTTAAATAATTTTTAGAATTAATCATATCTTTGAAATTTCAAAGTCCCTTAAAAAAATTCCTGACGTCAGAGAGAAAAAATAAAAACGCCACTTTAAGTAAAAAAGTGGGTTTCAAACCCTTTTATTTATTATTTATTTTATGGTAGGAGAGATAGAAGCAATTTTTTTAACGACCCCCCGAAAATCCCGGGATCGTAAATGCGAAAAAATTATCATCCCTAGTATGTATGTACATATGTATTTACATTAGGGTGGTTTTAGTGTATATGGGCGGATTTTTTTTCTGAAATTTGTAAGTGCTCACATGTAGAAATGTACCAATTAGTGTACAACTACAATTGTGAAATTTTGAGTCCAATCGGAACCTGTCCTGTAATTTGAAAAAATTAAAATGTTTCTAGAAAATACGATATTTTTCTGCTTTAGCTTACGACTCATTCTATCTAAGCTATAAATTTACCATCAGATGAAAGGTAATTTTGTTGACTTCAAAGTCAATTATCATAAATTTTCTTCAAAAATATACGGTTTCGCAGATATCACTGGTTTACAGCAAAAATGTTCAATAGATGCCACTATCCAATTTCTATGTAGAATTGCTCGGTGAATCCGAAAATCGAGTTAATTTTTTTTGCTATGGATACGTTTTCGAGATGTTTACAATTTACCGTTATTCTGCTCAAAACAAAAAGTGGTTCCACTTAATCGCGTATATCTTACGAACCAATTTAACAATCATAAAACGAGATACTTCAAATCAAAGCTAATAAAATTCTCCATAAACACATACATCATTTTCCGACAGCGCTTATCGTTTCTGACAAATTAATTAATCATCCAATTTTAAAAATAACAGGTTCTGTGCCAAATTTTCGCACTTGTGCTAAGCCTGTTCTGTTACAAAAAAAAATCAAGTTACTAATGAAGGGAAGCGAGTGATGAATAAAGAAGTAATGAGTGGTGGTCAAATGAAAATACGCAAAGATTTTTTGTATGAAAAATGAGCAGGAAAGAAAGTTACTCATACGCCACGTACACCTGAGTAATACGCATTTCTGCTCATATTTCATACAAAAAATCTTTACGTATTTTCATTTGACCACTCATTACTTCTCTATTTATCGCTCGCTTTCCTTCATTAGTAACTCGATTTTTTTTGTAACAGAACAGGCTTTAGCACAAGAGCAAAAATTTGGCACAGAACCTGTTATTTTTTAATTTTTCTTCTGTTAAAGTTGGATAATGGAATAATTACTTAATTTGTCAGAAACTATAAGTCCTATCGGAAAGTGGTGTATATATGAAAAATTTTATTAGCTTTGATTTGACGTATCTCATTTTACGATTGTTAAATTGGTTCGTAAGATATACGTGATTAAGTGGAACCACTTTTTGTTTTAAGCTGAATAACGGTAAATTGCAAATATCTCGAAAACGTATCCATAGAAAAGAAAATTAACTCGATTTTCGGAATCACCGAGCAATTCTACATAGAAATTGGATAGTGGCGTCTAGAGAACAAAAACCAAACTAAAATTTGTGATCCAGTGTATTTAACATTTCATGGGCAAAATTGGGGTAAATACTTCTTCATGAAATGGATTATGTACGCAATTATATCTTTTAGCTGCATTTCCGATTTGCAACCCTTTCCCTCCTGTAGCGACTAGTGTTTAAGAGGCCTTATTACACCGTGCGACAAAAACCAACAATTAAAACACACGAAAAAAAACAATATATTCACAAAACAAGGAGCCAAATATGGTATAACTGCGTTTTTAATTTTTCTCTCTGACGTCAGGATTTTTTTTGAGGACTTTGAAATTTCTGTAATACGATTGAATAAAAAATTATTAAAAGATTTGGTGCATTCACGAGTAACCAATGGGTTTCAATTAAAAAGAAAAATTTTGTAGAATTAAAAAAAAATTAATTTTTTTGTTGTACCAGGACGAATAAGTGTTGAAAATGTCCTTTTAAAACTTTATCCTTGAATATCCTTGGAAATTTCCAATATTTATTTTAGAAAAAACTATATATCAAGGACTAATATGTAAACTATCACATCCTCGAATTTCATCCTTCTACCTTTATTAGTTTTAGATAAAAAAAAATTAACTTATTTTATAAAATATTGATAGTTACAATATACATAAATGATAAATGATCTTATGACGAAATTCAAGGATGTGGTAGTTAACATATTAGTCCTTGACATATATTTGTTTCAAAAATAAATAGAATTATATATATATACATTATAAATATACAGAATTTTTCCTTTTAATTGATACCCATACTGTTATTCTACAATGCACCGAATCTTTTGAATAATTTTTTTATTCAATCATTTTCTAGAAATTTCAAATTCCTTTTGAAAAAAATCCTGACGTCACACAGTGCTTCCCTTCTATATGAAATGTGGGCAAAAATAGAATTATAGACGGATTTAAATGAAAATTCGCTTCTTAGTAAAATTGAGGACGCTCAATTCAAAAATGCAATTGGTTTTTGGATAACTTTCATACTTTCACTGTAAATGCAGTTTGAAGTTGAAAATTTGGGTTCTTGTGGCTTTTACATAGGTATGTACATATAGTTCGATCTATTTTCAAAAGTGAGGTGTGAAATGACAGGGCTTGGCCTGTAGATGTTCAATAAAGTTTTTTATTTTTGAAGAGGGTTGCCACCTGTTACAAATTTTATTAAAATTATTTAATAAGTTAAATGAATTAGATATTATAATATAGGTATCAATTGAACTAGTTTTGAAAATACTTTACCTCGAAATGAAACGTAGAAGGGTTGCCACATGTTGGGATTTTTTATGGGGTAAAATAAAAAAAAAACCCATATTTCTCTTAATTTTTTAAATTTTGACCATTGATAATTTCCACAATTTCACCAACGTAACGGTAGTGTCTAAAATTAAATCTATTTTCAAATAAACTGATACCTCATTAATTGCAATCGCATTAAAATTGTCGAATTTAGGAGACTTTTCTTAAATACGGCCTTGAATTTATATTGTTTATGTACCGGACTTTCAGATTTTTTGAGCAGTGTAGCTAAGGAATTTATCAAAATTTATTCAAAATTAATATACATATACAATCGTTCTTTAGAAAAGAAGTGGTTTTTCAGGAACTTTTAGGAAAATGGGGGTGGCACCGCCCTCTCATATGATATATGCGTATCTCAAAAACTACTTGATCGATCTCAACCAAATGTGGTATACACATTGTGCTTAGCCTCCTTAAGTACCGTCTTGAATATTTTTGAAATCCGACAAAACCTAGTCCCCCTAAAATATATCTAGCTTTGTGTTTTTTGAAACTACCGTTACGTTGGTGAAACCCGTGTTTTTTTCCGATTCCAAAAATTTTCAATG